AGAGACAGAGAGACAGAGAGACAGAGAGACAGAAACAGGGAGACAGAGAGGTAAACTTTGCAAAGAGGTGGCTTGAGTTACATGATCCTGGTCACACACCATTCTTTAGCCTCCAAGGCCATTCAGGAAGATGTTGGCACCATGTGGGTCCCATACCTCCACATGGGCAATACCAACACCAGTACCTCATGGTCAGGTGAAGAATCATAGAAGAGTGAGACCCTTTGGAGGTTGGTGGTCACTGAAGGGGCGTGCACTGAAGGGGGCATCTGCACAGGGACAGCATAGTCTTAAAGATGCCTGTACTTGGAGCTCATAGGCGCCCTCTACTGATGAGAGAACTTGCAGGGGTCCTAGCCAGCTTCTCACCTCCACGCTGGGACAGAGCCCTGCTCAGAGTCCGTGTTGGGATTCATCTTCTTAGCACAGCCTTGGTTACCAGTGTACAGCATGTCCCGGGTTTGATTCTTGTCCCCGGAGCCTTTCTGTTTCTGACTGTTTCTGTTCTGACTTTGGCTCCAGTGTTGCAGGTGTACCAAGTCATGGGTCCACAGATTACTACACACCTTGTCATTGCTGCAGATCGGGTCCCATGCTGATGTCGGAACATTAACACCCATACAGCCCTGCAAAGTCCTTATTTCACAGAGAAGGAAACTGAGGCAGCAAGACCAAGAAACATGCCAGATGACACAGTAAATGGCAGACAGATCTGAGCTCAAAACCAGACCCCCAGACTGCAGAGCTGAAGCTCCTGAACCTCTTCCACAACAGGAATATTGAACGTTCTGGAGTCTGTGAGCTGTGTGCCTCAGGTTAAAGTTAGGGGCCTGATTATTTTTCAAACAATCTCCATAGTGTTATCAACAAAGTGAGCCTCTGAAATTTGAGGTCTTGTTAGCTCTCTTCCTGACCTCTGTGAGTGACTTCAGTCATTCAAATGCCACAGTAGCTTAGAGTGAAGCTCATCACTTCTTCACACCAGCATCTTCTGGAGCAGGTCCCAGGCCCCGTGTGTTCCGGATCATAGGGGCTCATACTTTTTCTACTAAGGGGACCAGAGAACCGCATCTGTGCCATCAGACCTAGAGAGGGACAAGTGGGGCTTTCAGAGCTAAAGCAGAGGGTGGACGTGAGGGTGGTCAAGGGAAGAGCAGTGACGTCGGGCTCCCTCTGCCTTCTGTTCTTTCCTGTGCTCCCCGGAGGGCCCTATGAGAGAGCTACATGGAGTGGCCATGGGGCTCTGGGAGGTACCGAGCATTCAAGGTGAGCATCTACGGGGCAGGTGCTGACCCCTAGACCATTCTGTGGCCATCTCTATAGGAGAATTCAGGGTCAAACTGCTCTGTCTTGTCTGCTTGGTAAGGGTGAGAGGAGTAATAATGTCAGGTCTGCTACAGGGAGGACAACAGTGTCCAGAACACTGTGACCGCTTCCATTTGTCTGTCTCTCTGCAGGTGGACAACCCCTTCAGCTCAGGGAGCCCTTCCAGAGGACTCTTCTCCAGGGGTGCCCAACCTCGGCCCTCCAGCCCTGTGTCTGCTCCCATGAGGCCCAAGACAAGCCCTGGCTCTCCCAAAACTGTGTTCCCATTCTCCTACCAGGAGTCCCCTCCGCGCTCCCCACGCCGCATGAGCTTCAGCGGGATCTTCCGTTCCTCATCCAAAGAGTCTTCACCCAACTCCAACCCGTCTACCTCACCCGGAGGCATCAGGTTCTTCTCACGTTCCAGAAAAAGTAAGACATTGATGCTTTGGTTTCAGGTGGGTGCTGGGCTGCAAGGAACCTGCTCTATGGTCACTCAGCCAAGTGGCATCAGAGCCACAAGGTGGCTGCTGGTGACTCGGTGATGAGTGCTTGCGTGTGTGTTGACCTCCAGTTCCACCTGTCACTTTCTACCCTCATTAATCCTTCCATGGGGTAAACTAGAAACTTCCTAAGAGTCACAGTCTGACTTGTAAGGACAAACACTCACCACCAGCACTCAAGGTAGACCTGAGCCTGGGGTTGGCATGCTGCCTTGTATGGGCCTAGCTCCTGGGGATGATTTGGATCTGGGCATATTGATTCTGTTTATGGGAGATCCTGAGTTTTTCTATTGGTGCTTTGTGTACCTAGGAATGGAAGGTGGGATAGATTGGCTGGAAAAACATAAAGGAAATGTTTGTACTGGAGAGAAAAGATCACATCAACTCTTAAGTTATTTGTGGTCTGAAGATAAGTGATTGTCACTTGAGTGCCACTCACCATAATATGAAATGTTGAAGCCAATTGCTACATAAAGGGGCATCTTAGTTACTTTTCTGTAGTGATGATAAAATCTCTGACAAAAGGCAACTTAAGGAGAAAGAGTTTCATTTTGGCTCACAGTCCATCATGAGGGGGAAGACATGGTGGCAGGAGTGGGAGGTTGGCTGGTCACCCTGCCTCCACACTCAGGAAGCAGAGACTGAACAGGAAGTGGGGTTAGGTTATAAAACGTCAAGCCCCTCCGCCTTGTCAACTTCCTCCAGTGAGGCTCCACCTCCTAAAGGTTCCATAACTTTCCCAAACCAGCTCCACAGCTAGGGACCAAGTATTCAAACGTGTGAGCCTGTAGAGGCTTTTCAAACTCACACTGCAAGGAGCTTATTTCCTCTCTGTCTCTGTCTTCTCTTCCCGGTTTTGTTTTGCTTTGTTTTTCCTGCTAGTTTAGAACAGTTGCATTTGGGAAGATGATGAATGGAAAAGGAACTTGCCCTTGAGCATCAGAGGTCAAGGGCCTTCCTTTCCCTCTGGGTTGTGTTTGCCTGTAGGAGTCATGTCTGTCTGGCAAGCCAGCTGGAGAAAGTATGGAATCTCAGTCTTCCCGAGTTCCTTTTCTTTACTGTTTGTGTATTTGTGTCATCTGTGGGATATTTGTCCTAGTACCCCAAAAGCCATCTTCCCAGAATGCCAGCTCTTCTGCCTCCCATGAACCTGTAACACGTGAACTATAACATGCTGTACATACAAGAACATCCTGTGCCACATGATAGCAGTCCTTGAGGCCAGCTAGGGAAGGCCACTGTCCATCTACAGTGTCCAGTCAGGAGCAGAATGTACCCCCTCTAGTGCTGAAATGGTCTAGCATCCTCAGATGGCTGGACCACACCCTGAAATTCTTACATACAGCAGTCCCTCAGTATCTACAGTGGATTGGTTCTAGGACTCACTGTGGACTCTAAACCCTGAGCATGCTCAAATCCCTCAAACAAAACAACGCAGCACTTACATAAACCTATGCAGTCCTCCTGTATACTTTAAGTCACCTCTGGATTATTTATAAAACCTGGCACTATGTACGTGCTGTGCGAATAGCTGGGACACATCTGTAAATATGTCATGCCATTGTCTAGGGAGCAATGACAAGAAAGAGTTTGGGGTTCGAGAGATGGCTCAGCAGGTAAAGGCTCTTGCTGTCAGCAAGACTACCTGAGTTCCATCCTCAGAACCCACATAAAGACGGGGGGAAAGAACTGACTCCACAGAGTTGTCCTCTGACCTCCACTTGTGCACCACAGCGTGTGTGCTCCCACCCCATCCTTCACACAGATGCAATTTTTTTTTTTTTTTGGTTTTTTGAACCAGAGTCTTCCTATAGTACCAGTTGGCCTGGAGCTCACTCTGTAGACCAGGCTGGCCTCAGTGTCATAGAGATCAACCTGCCTCTGTCTCCCAAGTGCTGGGATTAAAAGCATGTACTACCACACCTGGCTTATTTGTTTGTTTGTTTATTTATTTATTTATTTATTTATTTTTATGTGTATGATTGTTATGCCTGCATGTGTATGAGTGCAACCAAGTTGTACAATGCCCTAGGAGGACAGAAGAGAGAATCAGATCCTCTGGAACTGAAGTTATGGATGATTGTGACCTACAATGTAGGTGCTGGGAACTGAACCAAGTCCTCTGGAAGAGCAGCTAGTGCTCAAGAGGCTGTCAGATCCCCTGGAACTGGAGTTACGGACAGTTGTTAGCTGCCATGTGGATGCTGGGATTTGAACCCAGGTCTTCTGCAAGAACAACCAGTGTTCTTAACCACTGAGCCATCTCTCCAGCCCCTGGCTTTTTTTTGATGCAATTTAAAAAAAAATAGTTTTGTTCTGTGGTTGGTTGCATCCACAGATATGGAACCCACAGATAAAGAGGGTCAGCAGAATTTGAACTAACTCTGAAGCCCAGGCAGGCTTTAAACTTGCAACCCTCCTGCCTCATCCTTCTGAGTAGCTGGAATTGCAGGTCTGTGCCACCAGGCCTGCCTTAAAAGATAAATATACCTCGAGAGAATGAACTTTGAGGCAGCAGCATGGCACCGATTGGAGGTGGTAGGTGTTGTCTGGGAACAGAGGACAGAGGTCATAGCGGGGACAGCTAAGGGCTATGCTCCTGGTCAAGTTCTGGCAGGGGACGTTTGGTGTGGCAGAGCTAGAGGAATTCGAGTGAATGAGACACATGTGATGTCCCCTAGTTATGTGATTGGGGCAGACCTGAGGGACTTAAGTGGAGTCAACAGAAGTATTCATGTGTGTGTGTATTCCATCTGTGTATACATATCTGGCACAGGAATGTGTGTACTCCGTGCCTACAGCCTGAGCTCCGGGCAGTTTGTGAGCTTTGCAAGCCTCGACTTCAGTTTGTCCCAAGTCAGTAAAGCAGACAGCTGCCAGCAGCAGCATGGGGCTGGGTTACATGTACCTTGTAGGGCCCACCTTATAGGATGTGCAGGTAACTGGGTACCTGACACCCCACCATGGAGGTAGGCATTCATTGGATGGGGTCTCAGACGTGGACCATGGGCCATGCTACCAGCCTCCCAGGAAGGACCAAGGGCCATGCTTCCTCCTCCAGTTTAGTCTAGAAGGCCTTTACGTGTTCAGGGCAGGCATGGCTTGTCAAGGCTCCTCTTTCCCATCTGCCGGGCAGACATGGACCTAGGAAGAGCTATGGAATGGCCCTGGGCTATTCAGGATAATTGATGAGGCTGTGTGAGGGATTGACTTTATCCAAGAAGCTCTCTGTGGGACGAGGAATAGATTTACCAGATTGTTTTCCCCAGGGCTGTTGCTCGTGTTGTTGCCCTTGAACCCCATGCCTAGCTCCTGGGCATTCCCCATAAGCAGGCAACCTGCCCTAACCCTCTGGTCCACTAAGGACCAAAGTACAGATCTGGAGCCAGATGGAGCCTGCAGCGGAAGTCTGCCTGACCTCTCTACTTGCTTCTGTTGTACCTGGTGTGAGGTTGACTGGAGGGTAGACAATTTATCTGCTTTTCCCAACACTGAAAACCTATTCCTGGATCAAAGTACCCAGACAACGTTTGCTCCCTACTGGCCCAGATTCGTTTCGTGGAGTAGAGGTGCTTTGTGGTAACAGTCCCATGATACCCACTGTGTCCATCACAGGGATGTCAAGAGGACGTTGCTCATTATACATGGTCCTGGGTGGACTTCCCCGTCTGCTCTCTGTACCAAGAATAGCTGTACTGATCAGCTGGCCCACTTTCATCTAGAGTGGACAGTAATCATATAACGGCCCAGTTTTCATGTCTGTGCTGCCTGTTAGAAGTCTTTGACCCAAATTTGTCCAAAAGGCTCTTGGGATGTGAAATGCCATATTTCTGAAGCTGTGTTTTAGTCCCATCCCTGCACTGTCACCCTATTGTTTTTGTTTTGTTGTTTTTGAATTGAGATCTTCCTATGATGCCCAGGTTGGCCTCCAACTTGGGGTATAGTCCAGGCTAGCCTCCAACTCACAGGCATTATGCAATTCCTGATGCTGGAATTATAGTAAAGTGCTACAGCACCCAGCTACCCTCCTGCTTGTTAAGTAAGGAAGACAGTTTATTGGGAGGATTGGAGGTATTTGTAGATTTAAAAGATTTGAGAATAAGCTGGGCATGGTAGCATATGCCTTTAGTCCCAGCACTCCGGAGGCAGAGGCAGGGGTATCTCCGTGAGTTCCAGGCCAGCTGGGGCTACAGAGAGGCCCTGTCTCAAAAAAGACAAATAAACAAAGAAACAAACAAAGATTTGCGAATACTCCAAGAAGGAAAGGAATCTTGCTGGCTGGGGGGAGGGGGGGAGCGCTGTGTGTGTACTTTCTATTTGATACAAAATATCCCTTGGCTTTATGTCTAGGCTACACTTCTCAAGTCCTTGTTTCAGTGTATCTGATTAGCAAAGTGAGAATCCCCAAGTCACTGAGTGATGGCCAGCGCTGGGAGTTCTACAGCCAAATGGCCAGGAACCTGAGTGGGGAGGGGGAGTTCAAGACAGGAAGCTCAGTTGACAGCCTAACCAGTTATGACTACCACCTTCCTCTTCCTCTTCCTCCTCCTCCTCCTCCTCCTCCTACTCCTCCTCTTCCTCCTCCCCCTCTCTTTGTCTCTCTCTCTGTCTCTCTTTCTCTCCCTGTGTACACAAAGATGCCTTCCTCAAACCTGGTCCAATGATCCAACATAGAGTTATAAGTGTGTAATGCTTCCCCTGTGGGAGGTGACCTAGTGCCATTCCCACCCCACAGCAATCAGAAGGCTGTGGCTATGACTTGATCACATCTTCTGAGGCCTCAGTCTCAAGTTCTGTGTCTGCATTCTGTTTCTACCCTAGGACTTAAGTGCACGTGATAACTGTTGAAACAAAAAGGGTTTTGGTTTTGGTTTGTTGAGGCAGGGTATTGGGCAGTATTCTCTAGAAGAACAGAACCAATGGGGTGTG